CCTAAAATCACATTAAACGGTGAGTGCGCATCAATTATGGCAAAATCCATGGTTAGGGTTACTATTCAGGATGCAACCCTACCGTGATAGGAAGCTTGACGATTCTACTGGGGATGATCGTGTGCCCGGAGAAGTCCATTAGTGGTAACGTTGCTGGACGCCAATCTAGATTTTGTATGTTCATCTTCTTGAAAATGTCATTGTAGATGATATCAACTGCACTTCCATTATCGATGTACACGCGGCTCACGTGGACGTTTCCTATGATGGCTTCAATAACCATGGCATCACTGTGTGGACAGATGCCCAGGACTATGTCACTGTCGGTGAAGACTATTTCCTCAGTTCCCCTGAATCGTTTATGGCTAGGCTCCTGGGGAGGAGTTTTAGTTACTTCTCGAACCAATGCCTTCATAGCTGTTGTAGAGAGAACCTCGAGAGACGCACCACAGATGGCCCCTACATTCTGAGTGATCTGCTTAGCAGGATCTGGTGGAGGAACTTTTTGGAGTGGTTGTGGTCCCCCGTCGAGCGACTGCTGAGCAGATTGCTGCGTGTTGTTCCTTGGTGCCCAATTGTTCCCCCGATTATCTCTTCGAGGGCCTCGACGGTTCCTCTTGGGAAAGTTACGAGGTCCCACGAACTTTCCTCCTTTTTGTCAAGGAGCATTCTGCACATACTATAGGAATTTCCTAGACTTCATCCCAGCCTCGATTTCTCGCTTCAGATCCCTGCAATCTTCGGATTATGATCTTTATGATACTCGCAGTATTGATTCATGGACCTGTTAGGATAGGGAGCCGAGGGCTTTGGAATAGGAAGCTCGTCTTTGTGGATTTGGAGGATTTTTCATCGAGACTTCAGCAATGGAGTCAATTGTCTGTCAAGCTTGGGCAATGCCAGCTTAGCTTTTGTTACAGACTTGGACCTATCTCTCCCACCTCGGTCTCCTCCTATCAAGAAGGATTCTTGTGAATGTTTAAGCGTTTGTTCCTGCTGGATGTAACTTTCAACCATGGCCCACATTTTGAGGGGGTTTGGTAGACAACTTTAACCTTAAGTTGGCAGATTTCCCAAACGGGTTAAGGCCTTGGATGAATCCGTTTCACACGTCTTTGTCATCGAGGTAATCAACTTGGAGAGTTTCTCGGATGAAGCAACGGTGGAAATCGGAGAGCCTCTCGTTTTGACCTTGTTTGATTGAGGCAGGTCGATAGACATTCTTGTAATCTGCTTGCTAGGAGAGAACCGTGCGGCTAATTTGATGGATAAATCCTCGAAGCTTGTTATATTTCTTTCTGGCAGCTGTCCAAACCACCGTTGTGCTTGTCCAATGAGATAAGATGGGAGGGCTTTAGCCATGAAGTCAAGTGATGCATTCTTGATTCTCGTGACTTGGACATATCCATCTAGGAACTGTTACGGGTTAGAGTCTCCTGAGTACTTTACGAAGTCCTTGGGGAAATCAAAGTCTTGAGGTTTTGGGCAATCACGAATACTTGGTATAAATAGATTTTTGTCAACAATCATTCCTATCATTCGCTTCATTGAGTCACGAATGGAGGTATTTTGGTTGCCGTACTCCCCCTGATGTCAAGAGGCATAGGGTTCTTCTCGCGGCTAATAATTTGTCATTATGGTAATGATCTTTGCGAGGATATCATGTACCTTGAGGTGGTGCGCGATACGTGTCATTGTTATCGCAGTAGGATTTTTCCGGGGAAACTCTAGGCCCTAAGCAAGATTGTATTTTACCTCTTGGTGGGGGGGGGGGGTTCAGTCCTTTTTAGATACAAACTCGATGCTAGGTGAAGCTTGGCGATGTTGGTTGCGGGATCGCTTCCTGCGTCGATATTCTTTGGCAAACTCTTTGAGCGATATTTCGAATGCTGGATACGCTCTTCCAAATGAGTCCCAGAAGGCTGTGTTGCAAGAAGTTGAGAATTCTTGGTGGGAGATCTCACGTTTGCGGGTTTCTCTGTAATCTTCATCTGGAATTTTGCGTTTGCCGTTTTTCTTCTTTAGCAAAGCCAATGTTCTGCGTGCCTCATTCTCGTCGATTATGTCTTTCAACTCTTGGTCTATTTTATCAGGTAGACCAAGCAAGCAACAACGTCAATATTCTTCCAAGATGTACTTTTTCTTCCTTTGATTGGAAGTGTTGTCGTCTTGCAACTTCTCAAGTTCTGTTTCGATTTCAGCCAACCATTCTTCATTGGGGTTTTTTTGCCTTTGCGTGTTTGTCAGATTTCTCCACACGTTTTCCAGCAGAATTGGTTGGCTGAATGGGAGTTTTCTCTTTCCTCGACTGGCGACTACCCCTCTTTCGCTTATGCTGCTCCTAGAATTTCGCCAGGGTTTCGTTGTCATCAGGGCTTGGTTGCCTACCTGTTGATCTCGTGCTAGATTGAGATTCGCCAATTACGGCCATCATTTTCAGGGAAGATCCCTATTTTGCGACGGCAGCTAGAGGTTAAGAAAATTTTGGAAGCTTTGAGAAAGCTTGTAACACAAACCCTGGTAAACGGGTCCCACTGGGCGTGCAACTTGACGAAGCCTAAAATTGTGATTTTGGTTTAATAGTGGAACTCCGTTTCAGGTTTCCTGCAAAACAAAGCCTCGGGAGTCTCCCGAGGGTAGAAACTCCGATACTTAAGTCAGAAATAGGGTTATGGAAAAGTGTGTATATGATAATTGGTGTTAGAGATAGCGTACCTCAATTGTGGTGAGACCAATCCTATTTATAGACATAGAATTACCTTGAGGGAAGCTGAATCCCATTAGGTTTCTTATTCCTGAACTGCCTCTGTAAGGTCGGTTGGACCATAATTGGCGAATGAACCGGTCCGGTAATCCTTGGTGGATATGGACTCGCCATGTACAACATTTTTGTGTTGAAATTCGAATTGAATTGAAGATAAAACTTCCCACCCACGACTTGTATCGGTTCAATGTTTACTTCTTCCGTTCCTTATTATAAAATATTTTGATTTGTCATAAATTTCATCTAATATGTTTATTTTTAATTAAAAATATCCTTAAAAATATTTTGTAATAAATAAGAGAACACACTAAATATAAAAATATTGTAGTTTTAAGGGTATTTTTCCAATAAAAAAAAACTTATACTTGGTGAAATTTAGAACATCAAAACGATTTATAATAAGGATTAGAAGGAGCATATTTTAGGATATAATAATAAATATTAAGTGATATCATCTTAGTTCAAAGGAATATTAACTAATAAAATATAAAGTGATAAAACTAAAAATTTTTTCTCGAAATGTAAACATTAACACCATCAAGTTCATAATGAACTCAAAACACTTTAGTACAAATAGCAAGCTTTGACATTTTGGTATAATTTCACATAGGACTTTCTGTTGGGACAAAGAATCCCACATCAATGTCGTGAAGGATCTGTCACCTATTTATAAGCTCTAAAGGTCACCTCACTCATTGCCAATTGGTTTTGAGATGGGAGCCCAAGGTACCTTTGACATGGTATCAGAGCCCACGATCTGTGGACCTGTGATAACAATGTACCCGCGTGTGCGGGCTTGTGGATTGACCTAACAGTACATCCTGAGTTATGGACCCGTGTGTACGGGCTTGTTCGACACCATATCCGGTGAACTATATTGTGTTGTGCAATCCCAATGGACTAAATACTCCATTGGGCTTGAGGGAAGGTGTTGGGATAAAGAGTCCTACTGTCATGCGTGCCAAAGTTCATTTCGTGGACTTTTCAAAATAAATCCCTAAACGCAGCCATTTTGATTAATTGAGTTGTATGTCAAAATTAATGTTGAACATGAAGACTTAGTCTTACTGCTATAGTTGATGTGGCCAAAGTTTGTTATATATAGTCCGGCGTTGTATTTCCAGAAGCATCGAAAATCATTTGTAAAACTTTGAGTACTGATTTCAAGAATTCCTTTCTTGATTCTCTCTCTAGATCGGCGTCGAAGTTCGTGAGATTTTCTGATTTCTCATCATTTCTTGCTTTATTGTTTCCATTTCTGGCCGAAATATCACTGGTCTTGACATTTGGTATCTAGAGCCAACCGGTTCTTGGTGCTAGAGTTTCCAAATGGCACCAGTTCGAGGAGCGAATCGAGTTGTGATGTGGAGGATCAGCTCGTGGATTGGAGGAAGGAAATGCAGGAATCTCATAAGCTAATGCAGGAATCTCATAAGTGAATGGAGAAATTGTTTTGGCAATCCTTGGAAACGACAGCGAAGTTGCAAGAACGATTCGCGGTGCTGGAGATGCGATGCTCAGGATTGGAGTAGGAATTGCACTCAAATCCTGGATTATCGAGCTGTATGGGTAAAATCCTTAACTCACCTTCTGTTGCTTCAGTCTCGGGCATGAAAACTAGTAAAGATGAGGAAATTCGGAAGACTGTAAGCAAGAATAAAAGAAAACTAAAATTGAGATTTATGATGATGAAGATGAGGAAAAGGAAACTAAGGTGACTAAGAAACCTTGGAAACCCATGCATAAAGTGGAATTAGCTGTTTTTAAAGGGGAAAATGCTCGTAATTGGATAAGAAAATGCCAGAAATATTTCAATGCCTATAGTGTGACTGATGAGGATAAGTTAGAATCAGAGGAGTTTTACTTGGAAGGTAAGGCAGATGTTTGGTATCAAAGTTACAGAAAATGTTTTCCTCAAGCAACTTGGCAATTATTTGAGTTTGAATTCTTAAAAAGATTCAAAGATTTGGAAAGTTTGGATCCAATAGAAGAATTTAATAAGCTTGTGCAGAAAGGAAGTCTCAGTGAGTACTTTGACAAATTTGAAGAGCTTAAGTCACAGTTGCTTTGTGTGAATCCTTTCCCGAGTGAAGCTTACTTTGTGTCAAGTTTTGTAAGTGGATTGAAGGAAGAGTATAAACCTTTTGTGAGGTTTATGGAACCACAGATAGTTCTTAGAGCTTTTCAAGTTGCACAATCACAAGAGAAAACTTTAACATTGGCTTTGAAACCTAAGATGCAAGTGTCTGCTAATAATAGAAGTTATAATGCTGGTGGAAAGATGGCAGTGCAAGGGGTTGCCAAGGCTGGAAATGGAATGTTTAAGAGGTTGTCACCTCAAGAGAAGCAATACAGGAAGGTTGATAACCTCTGCTGGAAATGTAATGAATTATGGGGGCTTGGCCTTGTTTGTAAGCTGGAACATTTGAACTTAATCATAGTTGATGATGATGTTGATCTGGAAAATGTTAAGTGGTTAAGTGGTGAGTTGGAAATGGCTAGAAAGTCTGTTGATGTGTGCAATATAAAGAGTTGGATGAAATGTTGGTCTGTTGATGATGAGGAAGAAGAAGTGAACTCTAGGAAGTTGATAGTGATCAAAGGCTACATTAATGGAGAAATGGACAAGATTCTGATTGATACTGGTACTGTGAGAAGTTTTATTGATGATAAACTATCACAAAGATTAGGATTGAGGAGAAAGATTGTTAAATCTTAGGTTGCTGATGGCCACAAAATTAGAAATAATGAGATATGTTCAGCTGCTAAGTGATCCATACAAAAGCACCATTTTCAGTTTGATTTCAGGATCATGACTTTGGGAAATTGGGATGTTATATTGGGTGCTTATTGGATGCCTCATTTTAGTCCAGTATTGTTTGACTATGATAATTGTAGAGTGGAACTAACAAGGGGAAACAAAAGGTTTATGTTACAAGGTCATTCACTAGCTGCTGAGGATGAGATTGAGATGATTATCAGGAAAGCTATGTGTAGTCAACAGCAAGCTAAAAGGCCAAGAATGGACTATCAGTTTGATGTTCCTGATAAAAGATTGAAGTGGTGTGAGGAAAAATCTAAGGTGGAGCAGGCTAAGGAAGAATTTTCATTAGAAGGTGTTGACATCTCCTCTGTTCCAGATCAAAAGGAGAAAATCCCACTAGAAATCTTGGCATTTTTGGCTAAGTTTCCTAAAGTTTTTGAGGAACCTACATCTCTTCCACCTGAGAGAACTGTGGACCACCATATAGTACTCAAACCTGGTGCTGTTCATTTCAAAATCAAGCCTCATGCTCATAAGAATGAGATTGAAGCTCAAGTGGATGAACTATTGAAGAAAGGAACTGCCAGAGAAAGGAATAGTCCTTATGCATCTCCATTTTTGTTAGTTACGAAGAAGGAATGGACTTGGAGGATGTGCACAGACTATAGATATTTGAATGCTCAAACAGTTAAGAACATGTATCCAATTCCAGTAATTGAAGAACTCCTAGATGAATTGAAGGGTGTTGAATGGTTCTCTAAGATTGATCTCTGATCTGGTTATCACCAGATAAGAGTTTGTGAAGAGGATATCCCAAAAACTGCATTTCAGACTCATCATGGCCATTTTGAGTTCTTGGTCATGCCATTTGGTCTCAGAAATACTCCAGCCACTTTTCAGAATTTGATGAATTAAATCTTTAAACCTTACTTGAGAAAATTTGTGTTGGTATTCTTTGATGATATTCTTACATTCAGAAGTTCTCTGGATCAGTATTTTTATCATCTTACAGTGGTGTTACAAGTGTTGATACAACATCAACTATATGCTACAAGTCCAAAATGTTGTTCTGCTCAGCCAACAATTGAGTATTTAGGCCATGTGATTACCAGGAATGGCGTGCATATGGAACAAAGTAAGGTGAAGAGCATTGTGGAGTGGCCAAAACCAAAAACAGTCAAAGAGTTGAGAGGATTTCTGGGTTTGGCTGGTTACTACAGAAGATTTGTTAAAGATTTTGGGATTATCAGTAAACCTTTGACTAATTTACTGAGAAAAGGAGGTTTTCACTGGGATGAAAAGGCCAGTTTATCATTTCAGAAATTGAAAACAACCTTAACTACTGCTCCAGTTCTTGCTTTGCCTGATTTTAGTCAAGATTTTGTGGTGGAAACTGATGCTTGTGGAGAAGGAATGAGTATTGTTTTGATGCAAAATGATCATCAGTCTTTGAAGCATTTGTTGGAACAAAATCTCAACACTCCTTTACAACACAAGTGGTTGGTCAAGCTGATTGGATTTGATTAAGAGATCAGATATAAAAAAGGGCAAGAGAACAATGCAGCAGATGCTCTATCCAGAATAGAAATGAAGGAACAGGATCAAGTGAATGTTGCAAGCATTGTACAGCCTGTTTGGTTACAACAACTGACAGAGAGTTATAATGGTGATGATGATGCACATCAGATGATTTTGAATGCCACCCTGAATCAAGATCAAATTCCTGAATCAAGATCAAATTCCTGAATTACAGTATGTGGGAGGAATTCTGAAACAAGGAGGGAAATTATATGTGGGAATCAGTGGTTATATGAGAGGAACATTATTAATAGTGTTCCATTCTTCATCATTGGGTAGCCATTCAGGACAAAAGGCGACTTATCAAAGGCTTAAACACTTGTTTTGTTGGAAAAACCTGAAGAAGGAAGTTGAACAGTTTGTTAAGCAATGTGAAGTTGTCAGACTTGCAAACCTAAGCATGTCCATTACCCTGGGTTACTGCAACCTCTACCAATTCCACACCAAGCATGGAAGGGTATTAGCATGGACTTCATTGAGAAATTACCAGTGTCTACTAAAAGGTATGACTGTATTTTGGTGGTGGTGGATAGATTGACGAATATGGTCATTTTATTCCTTTAAAACACCCCTTTAGTGCCAAATACATTGTTGATGTGTTCATCAAGGAGATTTATAAGCTGCATGGGTCGCCTGATTCTATAGTATTTGGCAAGGATAAGATATTCACTTCTCACTTCTGGAAGGCCATGTTTCAAGCATTGGGGGTACAACTAAACTTCAGTACAGCTTACCATCCACAGTCTAATGGTCAAACTGAAAGATTGAACCAGTGTGTGGAGGCCTACTTGAGGTGTTTTTGTAGTACTTCTCCTAGTAGCTGGTCTAAATGTTGATGTTAGCTGAATGGTGGTATAACACTACTTTTCATACAAGTGCTCAGATGACTCCATATCAATCATTATACGGATTCCAACCCACAGGAATTCCTTTTGGGAGTTGTAGTGACATTCTGATACCAGCTGTGGTTGACCAGATTCAGCAGAAGCAATTGGTAATGTCTAATTTGAGGATAGCTTGGAGAAGGCTCAACACAGGATGAAATATTATGCTGACCTAAACAGAATTGAAAGACAATTCCAGATTGGGCATTGGGTATTGCTGAAACTTCAACCGGATAGGCAGCAATCTCTGGTGAGTAAGAGTTGTTTGAAGTTGATGCATAGATTTTTTGGTCCATATAAGGTACTCGAAAAGGATGGAAGTGTTGCTTACAAGTTAGAATTGCCAGAAGGGACTAAAGTGCATCAAGTTTTTTTATGTATTCTTACTCAAAAGGTACATTGGAGCTACACCTATGCACATTTCTGATCTGCCTGATCTGGAAGATCCAGAAGCTTGTGCTTTAGTTCTTGAAAAGATTTTGAACAGGAGGTTTGTACTGAGAGCCAATCAAGAAGTGCTGAAATGGTTGATCAAATGGCGAGGCGTGGAGGTGGAGGATTCGTCATGGGAAGATGAAGCTTGGACCTGGTCCAGTTTCCTGCTTTTTCAACTTGAGTCGACTTTTAGGGCGGGGGGAGTTGTCATGCGCGCCAAAGTTCATTTCATGGACTTTTCAAAATAATTCCCTAAACGGCAGCCGTTTGGATTAATTGAGTTGTAAGTCAAAATTGATGTTGAACATGCAAACATAGTCTTACTGCTGTAGTTGACGTGGCCGGAGTTTCTTATATATAGTTCAGCGTTGTAATTCCAGAAGCATCAAAAATCATTTGTAAAACTTTGAGTACTGAATTCAAGAATTCCTTTCTTGATTTTCTCTCTAGATCAGCGTCGGAATTCGTGAGAATTTCTGGTTTCCGATCATTTCTTGCTTTACTGTTTCCATTTCTGGTCAGAATATTCGCCGGTCTTGACACCCACATCGATATCGTGAAGAAACTGTTACCTGTTTATAAGCTCCAAAGATTACCCGAGTCATTGCCAATTGGTTTTGAGATGAGAGCCCAAGATAACTTTTACACTTTCATGGTTTCATATCCCTCCCTCCGCTTCTCTTCTCCCTCCTCTTATTTATTGGCGATTTTTCCCTTCAACCTCTCGCAAGAAATCAATCCTAGGTTAAGCAAAAAACTATTTCTGCCGATCAGACAAAGTAATTATTGGTTGGAACATTAGAAGAGAAAAGAGAGAAAATACCCAATTTCTTCCTAACAATATTATCATCATTTACTTCTTATGCTTAGGCTCAATTAGCCGAGACAGGGAATCGGTTCCCTTCACTGTTTGTCAAGTCGTTTATAGATATATCACATGCATAATTGTGTCCCTGGTTGTCCTTGTTTTATTTTGTTTTTCTCAATTTCCAACTTTCTTTATGCATTGCGTTTCGTAATTTATCTACGAACTTTCTTTATGGTGATTAGCTAGTGCTGTTCTCGGCCTTCTTTGTTGGAGCAAGTTGGGGGTGCTTTGGTTTATTGAAGGTCTGATTTTTTTTTCTTGTAATTTTAAAACAACATATGCTTTTCTATTCATACGGTTTTATATTTTAGAAATTTGGTGATTGAGTTATTTCGCTGTTGTCTCATTTCATTTGAATGCTTTGAACGGAAGTATTGAAAATTCAGGTACTAGATATAATTTCTTTTTCTTTTTCAGGAGTAACAGTAGTTTTGTGCTAGAAATATTGGGTGCACATGGATCGAAATATTATTGCTCACCCATAGCTCAAAATGCTAATTCCATTGTGATATCTGCTACATCCAAAAAAAAAAAATAGTGCATATTGAAAATTCAGACAAAAGTAATATAATTCTACATGGCTAAATTCACCCGGGTTTTTGTATAATTGATTACTGGACGTTCTCCCCTCCCCGTACCTTTGGTATAATATTACTCTTGAAAAGAAAAAGAAGAAAAGTTGTTTATAACCTTTCATACAAGTACTCTAAATTAATAGCCACTAGTTGAATTGAACTCGGAATGAACGCGCTTCGCGTGTGCCATAATTTTAAGAATCTACAAAAATAATAATATATAATAAATCAAGAAAAAGAAGAAATGTAAAATAAAATGATGCTAAATTATTGGTTCTATTTAATAAATTCAATCTCATGAGTAACAAAGTAATGCGATTAATAATGAAATTTTATATTTACATGAAAATAAGAATATGCAACTAACAAAAAAATTTCTTACATTTAAGTTAAATTACATTTCAGATATATGTATAAATTGTAATATAAAAAATTATACTTAAATAAACTCAAATCAACACAATTTCAGATATATGTATAAATTGTAATGTGAAAAACTATTTTATCACCAAATAATAAACCCAAATCAACACAGGAAAGCAAATAATGAACCCAAATCAACATGGAAAAATGAAAAATGCTTACCTTACTTGGATTTCAATTTTCAGGTTTTCT